TCTCTCTCTCTCTCTCTCTCTCTCTCTCTCTTGCTTTGCTCTTTTTAGTCCTTTTTTATTTTACGACAACCCGTACCCCATTTTCTACATGTTAAGAAGACCAACCTCACAGACATGAGACTAGAACATTATATGCGCAAACAATAAATAACTTACAACGACGCGAATGGACTATTTATAATAATTTAATCATTACTTCTACGTGCTAAGAAAGCTACCCATTTATCATTTATAATTGAAACCCTTATTATAATCAACGAGGGTTCATTCATTCATTCATTCATTCATTCATTCATTCATCCATTCATTCATTCATTCATTCATTCTTTCATTCATTTATACATCTCTCCGTTCATCCATTCATTCATTAGTTCATTTATGCTTAAAATCATATACTTTAAGCAGATCGTAGAAATCAGGTCTATTCCCTCTAACTTTTTTTTCTTCTTAAATATAGAGGGTTTTTGGGGGCTCATTTTTCTTATGATAATATGTGTTCACTCATCAATTTGCTTTCTGAAAGTTCTCAAATATTATGTTAAATGGGACATGTTTAATTGTATACTTTTAACGCCCCTTGCAACACCAAGGTTAATGAAGAGACAAGAACTGCGAACGTAACGTCCATCTCCGATAGGACGAGCCAAATGGGAAAAACGCGGGTAAATAATTGCCTTCCCCAAGGACGCAACACAACGTCGGACCGATCGGAGTCCGGAACCCATTAACCAGCAATCTCACGACTACGTGAGCAGTAGTCAAACCACAAGACTATTGACGCCACGTAAGGTGTACCATGCACAAACAGAGATACCGAGATTCTCTTTTTCATTATCATCACCAACCTCGGTCTATTGGATTATTATATATCTGCACGCAGATTTCATCGACGATGTCATGACAGATTTGACGGCTCTGAACTCTGATTTCCTGAAAGGAATCATAGAGAACACGAAAATCACTACACAGAGGAGGTGAGACATTGTTAGAGAAAGAAAATAAACATATCAGTTATTTATTCGGTATTTCAAGCACTGGGAAATTCGTCTTCAGTAATGCCGGTGGCGAGACTAATAAATGATTTTGCGGGTTCTACACTGTTTATAGGGAGTAGTAGTAGTAGTAGTAGTAGTAGTAGTAGTAGTAGTAGTAGTGGTAGTAGTAGTAGTAGTAGTAGTAGTAGTAGTAGTAGTAGTAGTAGTAGTAGT